CGGGTGGTTGTGTGTGTGTGTGTGTGTGTGTGTGTGTGTGAGTTGCTCGTGGCAGATAACAGCTTGCTCTCCCATCCTGACTGTCCACAGATTTAACGCACCACTGCGGAAGATAAATGTGATATCAGACAGGCAGCATAACAATTACAAGGTACCCTGTAGTTGAAGGTTGTTTTATATGGGTCATGCATTGACTCCATACATCTTTTATAAGGCATGAATGATGCCATTCGACCCATAAAGACGTTTTATTGCAAGCATGTTGCCAGGTCATTTCAGAATTTGTTGTTTCTGCACATTTTTTTCTGGTTAGTGTATGTTGCACATTCCAGAAATTATGCAAACTCAATTATAATGTGATATTTATGATTTCACCCACAGAGTAGAGTCTGACTCAGCATCAGCTGTGTGTATGTGTATACACACTATGTGTGTGATGGATGGTGTAATTGTTTTTTTAATGCAATACAAATTTTTGCTCAGTATGCATTTGTTGTTGTTGTTGTCTCTCAGGTCAGTTTATGGTCATTTTAAGGAGATAGATCACTCAAAAATGAGCATTCTGTCATTTTTCATCACCCTCCTCATTATGCCTCCTATGCTGCAGCTCTCATATCTCATTTGCATTTCTCCATAAATAGACTTCTTGTGTTGTGAATGTGATTTGTCACATCACGTTATTGTCAAACTTGACGTGTTGCATAAATTCATAATATTTTAATGGATGCATGCAGTGGAATGCAAGATTTTAAATGATTAAGACTGAGATGATTATGACTTTATGAAATGATTAAGATTTTATACGATAAATTATTTGTACAAATGGTACAAACCACTTTTGAGCTTGACTGCCCAGATCCTCATTTACTTCTATTATATGGAAAATGCTGGTCAGTACATTTGTCAAAATATCTCCTTTTACGTTCCACAGAAGAAGAAGAAGAAAAAAAAAGAAATCATGCAAGGTTGGAACAGCATTTTCATTTTCTTTGAGCCATCATTTGTCTCAGTCTCTCTTGATTAAAAAAACTTCATTTTGCATTTTGGTTTATAAAACTAAATTGATCTATAAGCCAGATCTTGACTTCTTTTCCAGAAACCATTGCCTTTATTGCTAAAATTGGTAGTCACAACTGATCTGGAATATGATTACATTAAATTTGTAGTAATTTAGATTTTGTTAAGTCATGCACTCATGCAGCTTAGTATTGTGGGTTGCTTTCTCATCAGAGAGCACAGAAAAGATAAAGCTGCCATGTCTGCTTCGAATTAACAACTTCCATCTGTTCTCCATTACCCAGTGCTAGAGCACAAGAGTGAAATATACCACTGAATCAGATGATCTACAAGGAATCCCAAGCACATTTGACTGTAATCTGCACCAAGAACTAACACACATGTTTGTATGTCCCCCTCCAGAGGTGACCCCACAGTGTGAAATCTCAGAGGTGTGGTGATGGGTTGACCCTTTCAGGCCTTGCTAACCCCTGGGAAGCGCTGGAAACCCTTTGTCGGTCTCAAGAGGCCAATGTGTGATCTGAAGTGCAGAACAGCAGGAGGTGGTGTCATAGTTACAGACAGCAAAACATTTCAAATCAAACTAATCTTTAGCCAGTAAGGCCTGTTCAGATCAATCTATGGCTAACTTGTGTTTCAGATCAAAGATTAAAATGACAAATAAAAACGAAATATTATTTTATTACATTTATTACTACTTTATTACTACTACTACTACTACTACTACTACTAATATAAAATTCAATAGAATAAAAACATGTCAGTAATTATTTTTTTTAGATGTTTGCTTATGATGGCATGGACTTGCATGCATAATCACTATTAAGAGATTCCCCGGAAAGTAAAATATCACAATATTTAGCATCAATTTTATACTTACAAAGTTCACATCTTTGTTAATGTTTATGATTTTTCAAAGTATTGTATGTGTATAGTCTTCTGTAAATATTGTTGAATAAACTATAATTTGTATGTTGAGGTTGCTCTCTGTGCTTCCTAGTGTTTATTTGAAGAGGACATTCAGCTGGAGTTATTTACAGAATCTTCTATCCAACAACTTCTCTGCCTTCAGCACAGAGATTAAATTTTAGTGTACACACACACACACACACACACACACACACATGTTTGGTTTTGTGAATTGTGGGGACATTCCATAGGCGTAATGGTTTACTGTACAAACTGTATGTGCTATTGCCCTACACCTAACCCTACCCCTTACAGGAAACTTTGTGCATTTTTACTTTCTCAAAAAAACTCACTCTGTATGATTTATAAGAAAAAATGAGAACAGGGGGTAATGTCCT